GGCACAAGACCATTATGAAAATAAAAGAATAAAATAATATGAAATCAATGCAGTGTAGTTTATGACAAGAAGGAAATATGAGAAGTTGATGAGCATATTATAGTAAGAGATGATGCTGATTGCACTATAAAAATCTGCTTGTAGGTCAGAGACACACAGTATGTAAAAATAATCTTAAAAATGATTGGCTGCTGGCTTGAATAGGACCAAAAGTCCCATTATGGAAAGTCACATTTGTATAATTTATAACATGAGAAAACAAGAAGCAACTTTCAAATTCTTAATGATTTATTGTTGAAAGGCAATATTTATCCTGGTCTCTTATTAAGTTTTGCGCCTTTACCATTAATTTAATTACTGTGCACTTTGGATTAGTGAGTACGATCTAAAATAGTCAGCATGTCTATTTTTCTCTGTAAATAAAATATAATTGAACACATTTTGCTACGCAGACCCTATTAATTATGTTGATGCTGTATGCGCAGTGTTTATTTATATGTTCTTTTTTGGTAAAGGATTTTATTATCCGTTTTGTATTAACTTTATTTCACATGAATTTTCACACAATTATTAAAATTACAACATAAACATATGGCTATTTCTGTCCCGTGTTGCATTTATAATGGGTGGCCCTCATTTTGTGGTTGAAAGTGCAGAAGAAGACACAGAGATGGAAACAACAGAACATGAATGAAAAGCCAGAGAAAATAAAGTTTGTCTTAACGAGATAAAAAATGAAGTCTGACAGGGCACTGAGAGGTTTAAACAAATTAATGAAAAAAAAAGACTGTCCTCAAACTATTGATGCATCTTCAGTGTTTATGGGGCATTGTGTCCGTCAACATTATTGTTAATTTATTTTAATACTCTTAATTTCTTCTTCTTTTTTTTTTTTGCAAACAGATTTTAAGTCGTAGTGCTTGCAAAATGCTACACTTGATTGTTAATATCAGATAATGAATTGTAGACAGACCTGTAGTTGTATGAATAATGAATGTTTTTATTTTTGGTAGAAAGCTCCCTGCATTAAAAAAAAAAAAAGAGTCAAACTCATACAACCGAAACAATAACGGACTACGTGTCCCTGCCTGTATTTGTTGGAAATGTATTCCATATATATATATATATATATATATATATATATACATTTTTTTTCCCTTATAGAAAGTGGCAAAAACAGAACTGGAAATGTCCTGATGCACGCTCAACTGTCCAGGTAGATCATTCTAACAAGGTTAAGTCAAGTATAGTTTTATATATATATATATATACATACATACATATATATATATATATTAGGAGGTAAGAAAATACCTGTTCATAACCTTTCCACAGAATTCCACCTAAAAAATTCTGACCTCTTGCTCTAAAGGAAAAATGACCTCTCCAGATGGGGTCTCCAGACATATTTAGAACCTCAGTAGCTGCATCTTCTGATGGCCACAGCTTCATATCCTCTTTCACTGGCAGCAGTATTTGCATGTAACCTACAAAAACCTTGGCTTCATGGATTTTGCCATTTTGCCGTCTCCACTCTAACACCATCTTCTTTAAACCTGCTCAGGCAGAGAGTAGCCTTCTCTGCATCACAATTAATTGTGCATAATTGCTGTATTTCACACGACGTCACTTCTCCCCTAAAAGCACACCTCTTATGAATAGATAGAGGAGAATTAGCACTTATACCTAGATAATAAACAAAATAATGTTAAAATATAAAAGAGAAGATGATCATTTAGCTGCTGCATATTTCTAGTTTGCTGAGCAGCCCAATCATTTTTCCATAAATTCATAAAGCCCAGGGGTCATAAAGCATGGCTGAAACTTTACAGGCTCATAAAGTACAATTGGAATGCTTATTTGGCCAATCAGAACCCTCGGCTGGAAGCAGCCATTTTATAATAGCATTTAACTTCAATAACTTATGGCATGAGTGAACTGGATGAGGTTTAGTCAGTGGAAAGAACAGAGTGGGTGTCCCATGAAACTGCACCCTCACACACACTTCAACATACAGAGCATGGCTCTTTATACATCAGCTCCTAATTGCCTGAAGTTTTTTACGGTCAGCGCACTGACCTGAAACACAGCGAGCTTCCATCATTGTTATAACGTGGCACCTTTAAACCTTGTGAACCTTGGCACGGACGACTTGTCTCAAACAAATGAACAGGAACTCTCTGACCTTGCACAGAAGTTTTAGCTCATCTCATGTGTCAGATGTCGAATTCAATATTGGAATATATAAAGCTTTTTTTTTTTCTTTTAACGACAGAGAGAGTCACATATGGAGAAACAAATGTAAGTCCTCTGACTGTGTGGGAGAAGAGATGATTGGCACTCCTCTCCATCAGTTTGACGGTGGCAGGTGATGGAGGTGAAAATGACTTTGGTTTCTGCAGTGATGTGCAGCTACTGAGAAGAACGCTGCACTGGTACCCACTGGCTATAGGGCCCATCTTATTAGCATGTGTCACATGCGTCTCAAGGCGGGTGTCACATAATATCTTTAGCTGTGTGTGTTTGCGTGCACTACCGAAAGATTTGTCAACCGTGCTGCCTTAACAGGGCGTGCCAGCGGGACTTCGGCAGCTGCGGTTCGACTCAGGAGCCGATCTTAGTTCAGAGGAGCCAAGCGCAGATGACACAAGGTCAAATAAAGGATGACATCCCTGACACCCGTTTTAATTACTCTATGTGGCTTAGATAGAGCTCAGCTGGCACATGACAAGCAGCGATGGTGTTCAAATCCCACAACACTTCCAAGCCTCTGGGTACTTCTTCAGCACAATCCTCCATCTCAGGCAGAGCTGACAGAGCTCAGCGGCCTTATATAATGCTCCGAAAGTTAAAAAAAAAAGTGTTCTCTCTTGGTTATCTATCATTGCCATGCTGCCTGGTCCCAGAAAATTCAGTTTTGGCATGATGGACATGGCAGGAAGACAGTGGAAGAAAGGCAACTAATTCAAGTTTGATTAATAGCGTTGATGATATTTCATTTCATTCTTGTCCACTGTCAAAAGGTGAAGACAGATGATGTTGGACACGTTTTAATGAAACTTGCAGCTACTAACCATTATGTCCAAATATAATACTAAAAAAGTTTAGGAGTCAAATTGATTCAAGATGGCCACTCCAGCTAACGGTCAAAACATGTCTTTAACTCATTTAGTTTTACAGACAGTAAGATGAAATGTGGTGTACTAGTAGCTGCGACTGATGTCCACCGCTTATTATGAGCACGAACAGCTCTACACTTTGATTCAAATTTTGATTTTAACTTTTAACTCTCTTTAACTTCTGGAGTTAAATACATTTAAGATGGCTGCCACATCCAACTGACCTTAAAAATACAAAAATGGTTACAATTCAGCAAAGTTCATGCTCAATAATCCACGTATAAAATCCAACAATGTTCATTAGGTCATCTGGATGGTTTCTTTTTTTTTTCTTGAACATTTCGTCCTTCATCCAAAGGACTTCTTCAATCTGAGGAGCCACCAACAAACACAACTGATTCCCACAAACAGCATACTCCATAGTGTAAAAAACCAGTTTGCTGGTGCTAAGATGGCCTCCAGGGCCCTCCCTCTCCCCCATCAACTCCTCTGAGACAGTCATGCCAAAGTGGTTCAAAACATCAAAGTTCATGCTCAATAATCCAGGTATAAAATCCAACAATGTTCATCAAGTCATCTGGACAGTTTTGTTTTTTTGCAGAGTCGTTTCATCCTTCATCCAAAGGACTTCTTCAATCTGAGGAACATATCTATTCTATAGAATATAATAAAATGAATGCTTGACTGTCTCAGAGGAGTTGACAGGGGAGAGGGAAATCAATTTGTTTAGTGGCTCCTCAAATTGAAGAAGTGCCTTGGATGGAGGACGAAACGTCTCAGCAAAAAAGAAAAGAAACCAGATGGACACAATTCACTTTGTTTTACAAACTCTGTTCGTAGTAACAAACTAGTGTAGCTAACTAGTTACACTAACTAATGTAACTAACTAAATGTAACTTATTGTCATTTCAAACACACTTAAAATGCTTCTCGTTGTGCAGAATAAGTCTTCAACACTTTAGCAATACCTGTTGCACAAAAGGCTGTTTTTCTGTCAGTAAATGATCTGTTAGCTTGAGTCAGGATGGGAAACTGGACAGATTTTAATGAAGCTCTCAGAAAATAAACACTGGATGTGCATCTACAACTTTTGGAGTGAATGTAATTCAAGATGGATGTCACAGCTAATCAGCTTTAGCCAACACAAACATGATCATAACATGACATTTTATTGTTATCGAGCCAAACTTTATGTCAGTTTTAATTTAGTACCGCAATACCTTAACAAATATTTTATTTTGTAGAATTTATGTCTGATTAGATTTATGGTAAAAAAAAAAAAATAAGCACACACACTTTCATCTATATTTCCATATAGTAATTAAATTATATTTTTTATTTGAACAGAAACCATTCTAAATCTGAAATTTTCTAAATTATAAAACTCCCTTTATCTGAAAAGAATATGAAATAAAATGCAGGTGGACTGATGAGACAGACTCCCTGATGTTCAGTGAGTTCCTCTGCTGCGACGACCGTTCCACCCGTCCTCTCCTGTGCGGTGACAGTGTCAGCTTTTATTTGGCTCCATCTTGTTTTATACGGCACCCTTGTAAACAGTTTGTTGATTAAAGTCTTGATGTTTGTAAATTTGTGAGCGGTGTGCTTCCAACCTGTAATGCAGTTTAATGTGCTTAGTGGTACTGAGTGTAAGTGAGTGCTTGGCCGTTCCCCAGAGAGCGATAGCAGCTGGATCAGACTAATCTAATACAGCCCCGTGTGTCTGGGGAGCCATCCGTTGCTTATCAGATCTTTCATTCAATAACATCGAAAGTGATGCCAGCTTATGAAGTCACATGTGAAATACTTCTGCTTCTCTTTTTCCACGACTTTTGTGTTTGATTTATAAACGTGTGTGTGTGTGTGTGTGTGTTCCTGCAGACTCAATGGATGGCTGCTCCACAGACTGTAATGGAAACGGAGAGTGTGTGGCTGGACACTGCCACTGCTTCGCCGGATTCCTCGGTCCTGATTGTGCCAAAGGTAAGAAATAAAAAGAGCTTTATCTGAGAAAAGGAAAACAAAAAGTGTTTAAACTGGGGAAACTCTCAAACCCAGTGAAGTTCTACTAACACGTCTTAGTTTTCACACATTTCTTGTGTATTTTAATTTTATGAAGGTTAAATAACTTCGACAAACGTGTGTGCAGCTCTTTACAGCAAACTTTAATCAGTAAAACATAATTCAAATAAAACAATTTCATATATATATATATATATATATATATATATATATATATATATATATACATATATATATATATATATATATACATATATACTCAGAATGGCAAAACCAGGTGTAGTTTCAATGGGAAGTCAAACAAAGTAAAAACACATTAATGATGAGATTATTATAAATACAAGCAGGTAGGATAGAGTAAGTAAAGACAGCAGCAGGGTTAGGAAATGTGGTCAGTTTTGTTTTCCTGTAGTATAAGCCTATAGCAGCATAAGTAAGCGATGTCTCGGGAAACCTGAACTGACCCTGACTATATAATTTATCAAAAAAGACAAACTTAAGCTTAATCTTAAAAGTAGACAATGTGTCAGCCTCACAGACAGAAACTGGAAGTTGGTTCCACAAAAGAGTATATATATATATATATATATATATATATATATATATTCCTCCCATTCTGCTTTTGGAAACTCTAGGAACCACAAGTAAACCTACAGTCTGGGAGCCACGTGCTTTGTTTGAAACCAGAAGATTTCCTGTACAATTTGAAGGTCCATTCTGTATTACATTATGTTTAATACAAGATGGAGTTGAAATAGAAAAAATGAAATTGAAATTGATAGTACTGAAAGTTTTGTATGATAGAAGAAAAATTTTAAACACTATTCGAAAATTTTCAGGGAGTCAGTGGAGAAAAGCAATCTTTTAGATCAAATGAAGATTTTTTAAGAGGTTTTGGACAACCATAAATATAAGGTTACAAAAGTCCATTCTAGAAGTGACAATATGTTTATAATTTTAGTGATATTGTAGTTGAAAAAACATTTTTAATGGTAACATTTTTCAATGTGGGGGTTAAGGGACAAATAGAAATTAATATAAAAAAAAATATCACACCAAGTTTTTCTTAAATCCGAAGGACAAGTTAATACTGTCCAGAGGAAGTGAAATGCTGGAGAGTGTTTTTATGTTATTATTATTTTTTTTTTTTATCAGGTTCAAAAACCACAACCTTTCTGTGGTCTGATGTTAAAAGTAGATAACTGAGTCGTCAAAGTGTTTGTCTTTAACATGTGCTCATAATTTGAGTAATTGGTTGGATTCATTCCCATCTTCATTCTATTTTTGCATGAGCAAACACAAGTATTCTGTCATATCTTAGTTATCTCTCTGATTTTATTTTTAGCTGTAGTGCTTTAATTTGTTGTTAGTACCTTTTGGTTAATAAAGTCCAACACACTTCTGTTTTCTGGCTAAGTATAAATCAGCAGCAGTTCTGCTGGAACACTGTTCTAGCCCTGTGGACTTGGTATTGATCTACTGCCATAACTTTTGCTTCTCCTACAGAATCAAGTTTCCCATCTTCATTTACCATCTATTTCCTGTCACCTTGATTCTGCTGATTGTTTTAAGAAACTGCTCCAGTGAGACAGAAAGCCTGCAACAACTCTTGCAATGACATTACCCCCCCCCCCCCCCAAAAGCAACAATGTGAATCTCTTGAAGCAGATTTTGTGATAAAGATTGTGAACAATTATTATCTTGAAAGTTGTTTACAGTAGTCCCTCGCTACTTTGCGGTTCCTTTTTCTCGGACTTGCTTTGGCGCGGTTTTTTAAAATAAGATTGGACAGGACAAACAATTGGCTGATTGCACAGGCGTTGCAACCATTATATGTGAAGGGGACATGCCCCCCCCCCCCCCCACCCCCGCACATTCAAAAAACGTTCATTTGGAGCACCCCACCCACACACACACACACACACACACACACACACACACACACACTTTTACTATGAAACATTAGTTCAGTCGACGTAGTTTTTTTCTTCGTGAACAAATCCATTCCCCGTGATTAATAGGAGAATCCTCTACGTCTCCTCCTGCCTTTGCAGAAACAGCGCACAGGTGGAGGAGATGAAGAAATCTCTGTGTTGATCGCTCGCCAGTTTAACGAGCTTTAGTGCGGGCAGTTGTTGACCGCGGGGGGGTGGGGGGGGACATAAACATATATTCAGGAGGATGCTTGAGAGGAGCGCTACGTAGCATGTTAGCTTAGCAGTAACTGTGACGCTGTAAGACGCTGCAGGTGTAAGAGACGCTGTGTGTTCAGGTGCATTAAAGTTGAAATGTCTTTAAAACCCCACACCTTATTGTGCTCAAACTTCATGAGAAACATCATTTAAATGAGTAGTGTTGAACACAAGTAAAAAAGTCCAGTGGTGATGTTTTTAATTTCTCTATAAACACAAATAGTGCCGACCTGACGTATTAAAGTTAAAATGTCTTTAAAACCCACAGCTGAATTTACACAAACTTGGTGAGAAACATGCTTTAAATGTGTAAAATTAAAGGAAATCTAGGTGAAATGTTGCTTTTTTGTACACTAGTGTACAATTTCTTACGTGCACACACACGTGCATGCACACACGCACATCATCGTGTCCGCCCCACATTACGGATGCTTCTGATGCCCTTTGCTGATTGATGGATGTGCCGCACGATTGGCATGGAGTTTTTATTTAAAATAAATTATTTTAAATTATTTAGCACCTGCTGCACATTTGTGCAGCCCACACTGCAGGATAAACCTCCTTCTGCAGCTGATGAGCTGATCTCCATGCAAAGCGGAGAAGTGGGTGTGGCTGAGAGTGCCTGAAGGTGTCTGAGAGCAGTGGAGCCAGAGAGCTGAAATCATGACATTCTGTGCTCTTTCAGAGCGTTTAGAGTTTAGAAACATTGTTTAGAATATTGCATATTGTAAACCGCTCACAAATTTACAAACATCAAGATTGCAAGAGTGTGTGAAGGATTTAAAATGCATCCATATATATATATATATATATATATATATATATATATATATATATATGTGTGTGTGTGCGTGTGTATATATGTGTTTATATATGTATATATATATATATATATATATATATATATATATATATATATACTAAACTAAACTACCACTTACTACTTGTACTACATTTACTACTTTGCAGTTTTTATTCTATAGTCTAATTCTGACTTGATTTATGAGCTAACAGCTGGTATGATTGAAACCGAGACCAAAGTGGGTGCATCATCTTAAAACATCTCCAATCTAAATTTTTTAAAGTGTTTTATAGTAACATTATTTTATAAACTATTACTTTACTATCAAGTTTTGGGTTTGAACGTTATTTATAGATTATTTAGAATTCAACAGTTTTCAGTCAGGTCATCTGGACAGTTTATTTTTTTGCTGAAACATTTCACCTTCCATCCAGAAGGCTTCATCAGTCAAGGAAACACTCAACACAAAACTGATTCTTCCCCCAAACAACTTACTCCAAAGTGGAACAAACCAGTTATGTTGGTGCTAAGATGGTGTCTTTGGCACGCCCCCTCCTCTTGTGCCGGCCCTCTTCCTCGTCGACAATTATTTAGAATTCTAGTTATTTACAAGTGCTAATCGCAGCAGATGATGCGGGCAGAGGTGGGCAATAAGCTAAAGTGCATGGCACTCAGAATTCCGTGAGACAGCCACTTTAGCCTATTTTCTGAGTTTTTAGTTGTTTATCAGTTTTCAGCAGGTGCAGCACAGTGAGTATGGCTTTATTACAGATCCCCACTTCAGAATAACTGAACTGTTGCTTTACGGCTCAAGGAGCTCACTGAATGTATCAGTTGTGTTAGGAAATATCTGTGAGCTGCATCTTTCTTTTTTGTACAAACAGTAATTTTGACCTGATCACATCATGTGGTTTTCAACACTATCCATCCATCCATCCATTTTCTTTACCCGTTTATTCCATTTTGGGTCACGGGGGTCGCTGGTGCCCATGTCCAGCAATCACTGTGCGAGGGGCGGGGTACACCCTGGACGGGTCACAAGTCCATCACAGGGACACATAGAGACAAACGAGACAAACAACCATTCACTCTCTCACTCACAACTAGGGACAATTTAGAGTTACCAATCAGCCTAACATGCATGTTTTTGGTCTGTGGGAGGAAACCGGAGCACCCGGAGAAATCCCACGCATGCACGGAGAGAACATGCAAACTCCACCCAGAAAGGCCCCTAGACCGGGGTTTGAACCAGGAACCTGTTCGCTGAGAGGCAGCAGCTCTACCAGTTGCGCCACCGTGCTGCCGTTTTCAACACTAGCCACGCTTTATTTATTTATTTATTTTTTTCCTGATTACTTTATAAATATGAGTTATTGGAGAAGGGATTAGGATTAAACTGGCAGCTTTTATTAAAACATTTACCGCATGAGGAATACGTCATATTGTGAGTTATTAATGTGTTTTTGAATCCTGACACCATTTTACTCTTAGCATCTTTCACTCCCTCGCCCTGTTTCATCTGACCACCCCTCCACCTCTGTTTCACCCCCCGTTCCCTTTTTACATTCCACCTTTGTAGAAATTACAGCAGTAGTATCTGTCTGACTATGTAGAAACAGATGATATGATTATCGCTTCTTGTGATTTATTTATGCTCATAATTTATTCATCTCCACTTCTCATCTTTGCTCATTTGTTTGTGCCTCTGCACAGTGTTCTCCGCTTGAAAGCTCAGAGAACAGGTTTTAGCATCACTTGTTAAAACAAACAAAAAAAAAAAAGCAGAGCTTGGATTTATCACTGAGCATAGTGTTAGGATTTAACTATGGTTCAAACAAACATATAACACATGCTGCCATGGATGAGTGCACACACAGGGCCTTCACTGCAAATGATCCCAGACATATAATTAAAGACCTGGCATTCCTGGAAAGAATGCATATTACACTCCTCTTTTCATGCCAGATTAAACTGAGATCATCTGAGAGAAATGACAGTGTTGTAGATATTTGTGTCTAACCTCTAAATTGACATTATAAACTATATATTGCTATATTAACATCTTGTGAGACGTATTAGTGCTTGGAGTGTGTGTTGTTAATGGCTCTGCTACTACCACAGCAAATTTTAGCTTTGCATCTGAAAAATTTACAGAGTTTTATCTTTTTTTGTGTTTGCCAAGGTCAGATGGTTGTGTATGGGCAGAAACTTGCACCATCAAAAACTGAATTTGAATTGCTCAAAGTGACTCTGTATTCACATAATTTGAAATGAAATCCATTGGCTTGAAAATTAATTTTAATAAATAGAAATTGAATTCATTTTCTTTGAAGCTGTATTTCGTTGTATTGAAATTTCATTTTCAGTTCTATAATTCAGTTTATATTCCAAAATTCAGGTTTTTGGGGGCATACATCCAGGTCCTTGAGAAAGCCACAGAGTAATCGAACAGAAGCAGTAATGCAACAGAATGGATGCAATCTGCCGTAAAACACCACGTTCAT